CCTTTTGGACACCTCGGCTTGATGTGGCCTATCTCACCACAGCCATAGCACTTCGGGGGACCGTCGTGCTTTCTTCCTTTGCGCTCAAATTCCTTCTTCATAAATTTGTGGAATTTCTTGATGACGAGTCCGAACTCGTTGTCATCATCGCTTGAGTCTTCTTCCACGGTCTCCTTGGTTGCTTTCAGTGCTATTCCCTTCTTCTTTTGTTCATCCAAAGACGGAGTTAGAATAGTAGATTCATAAGTTTTGAGGTAACCTCTTAGCCCGTCGATGGTGACATTGGAGACTCCGATGGATTCGTAGATTGCGTCAGCCTTTGATCTCCATTCGGGTGTGAGACTACGCAGGATTTTCCTCACAAGGTCCTTGTTGGCGTACGTCTTCTTGAGAGCGTGAAGGTCGTTGATGATCTTTGAGAATCGATCGAACATGTCATCCATCTTTTTGCCTTCCTTCATCCTGAACATCTCGTACTCCTGCATTAGGAAGTCAATTTTGGCTTCCCGAACTTGGTCCGTACCTTCATATGTGACTTCCAGCTTGTCCCACATTTCTTTTGCAGTGGTGCAGCAAGAGATCTTGCGATAATCATCAGGATTGACCGCACAGTACAACATGTTGATTGCCTTGGCGTAGTTCTCCACCTTCTTGATGTCTTCGGCATCAAATTCGTCTTCGGTCTTTGGGACAAGTTTTTCATCGACCTTCTTCATTGGCGTTTCTTCGCCGTTTTTGATGACCAACCACAACTGGAAGTTGGTTGAGCGGATATAAATTCTCAGCCGCTCTTTCCAATATGTGTAGTTGGTGCCATCAAAAAGCGGTGGCCTAGATGTTGATTGACCTTCTCCAATTCCTGCATAATGATTTCTAGAAGAAGAACCCATGATCGCTTTACTCTCAAACGGTTAAGTTTAGACGTGAGTTAGGCTCTGATACCAATTGTTAGAATAAAAGACCAACGCTAGAGGGGGGGTGAATAGCGTTTGATCGTAGAAATCGCAGGAATTAAAAACTTAAAAGAGAAGTAAAGAGAAGAGTAAGAGGCACACCGAATTTTACCCTAGTTCACCACAACTTGTGGCTAATCCAGCCTCCCGAGAGACTCTCTCGAGCTACACTACTATCTCGTTAAGCTTGCGAGTGCTTAACAAACCGTTACAACTTGAGAGTTCGAGTTACACGAACCTCAACGAGTCCTTCAAAGGAAACAACCCTTCCTTTGAATCTACCGAGAGAAATACTTTCTCTCAAAGTGTCTAAGAACACGAATACACTCAAGAACGAGGCTCTCTTATAGAGTAGATTATGAGTAAACTAAGTACGCTCAAGAACAACTCAACCTCCACACAAAATGGCTCTAGAAAGCTATGGAAAATGATGATATTTGAATGCAATGAAAGTATGAATGTTGTGAAGTTGAATTTGATGAGAAAAGCAGACCCAAACACCCCTTTTTATAGTGCCAAAATAGGCTCCAACGGACCAATGCATTAAAGGGGTGATTAGCTTGATTTATGGGATTGAAAAGATTTGGGATCTGCAGAATATTGGCTTCCCAGCGATGTATGGACCTTACCCATCGCTGGTAGGCCAATTTTCCTTCAGTTTTGAAGCCAACGGTCACCTACCCATCGATGGATACATGCTTCCCATCGCTGGGTGGGAGGTTGACTTCCAAACAAGGAAAGAATCAACCTTAAATGACCTACAACGGTCATGCCTTCCCATCGATGGTTAAGCCTTCCCATCGCTGGGTTCCCATCGATGGGTAAAGCTTCCCATCGCTGGGTAAGGGCATTCTGCCTTGTGATAATGTTGGACCAAGGCTTTAACAGCGATGGGTAGAACCTCCCATCGCTGTTTGGCATGGTTCTGGAAGTTGGTTTGGCTAAGGGGCCGCTTACCCATCGATGGGATGTTCTTCCCATCGCTGGGTGGGTGGTTAGCCAAAAACCTATGGTTTTTGCCTTAACCACGGCCTAGCCAACCGATGCAAAAACCGACCGAAAAATCCAAAGTTCTCCAAAATAAAAACCAAGTGTTTNTACAACGGTCATGCCTTCCCATCGATGGTTAAGCCTTCCCATCGCTGGGTTCCCATCGATGGGTAAAGCTTCCCATCGCTGGGTAAGGGCATTCTGCCTTGTGATAATGTTGGACCAAGGCTTTAACAGCGATGGGTAGAACCTCCCATCGCTGTTTGGCATGGTTCTGGAAGTTGGTTTGGCTAAGGGGCCGCTTACCCATCGATGGGATGTTCTTCCCATCGCTGGGTGGGTGGTTAGCCAAAAACCTATGGTTTTTGCCTTAACCACGGCCTAGCCAACCGATGCAAAAACCGACCGAAAAATCCAAAGTTCTCGAAAAATAAAAAACAAGTGTTTAAAACACTTATTTGATGTATTTGGCTAAGAAATCAAGTGAGACACTTTAAAAGTCACGTCATTTGAGTAAAAACCACGTCTAGCCAAGTTTATGCCGTTTTGCGTGGTTTTTGTCAAACGACTAAAAGCGAGAGATGGTTTTCAAAGTGTTTTAGTTGGAGAACCGTTTAAACATGCCAAAGAGTGAAAGAAGATCATAAAATGCTGAAAACCACTTGGTTGGTTCGGATGCCAAAAAACCAAACCTGACAACCGAAAGCCGAACGCTGGTTTCTGAAAGCCGAACACTGGATGGCTTGGTTTTTGGTTTGGGTGACCACCAAGTGCTTTTAATGACTTGAACAAGTTTGAAAAAAAATTTTATGATGTAAGAAATGCAATGAGAGATTTTAGCCTAAAGAGCCAAGGTGTAAAGATTGGGTCGGTTTTGATCACAATAAAGACCGACTCAATACTATGACTAAGGTCTTCGTTCTTGGTCTTCGTTTAGCTCTTGCTCTTATCTTCGTTCTTCGCCTTGTATATTCAATGTTCGACTTGATCACGGTGGTTTGGCATTATCAAAACCTGTTACAAAAACGAACACGACTTTAGTACGAAAACGTGACAAGCCCGTGTTTCAACAATTTCTCCCTTTTTGATAATGGCAAACGAGATGAGGTTATGCATAGGAGGATTATTTTAAAAAAATGTTTCCCCTTAATAGATAACCTTAATATCTTCCCCCTTTTGACATTAACAAAAAGAATTAAAAGTGAACTTTAGAGTTTAAAAGTAAACTTTTATTCATTTAAAAAGGAAAATAGGGAATGCAACGGAATGGAAATAAAAAATACAATCATAGTAAGGAGAGAAGAGAAAAGAAGAGTCTAGGCATCGGCGCCCTCGCCCTCGTCGGCATCCTTGTCGGGACGTAGTTGATGCCGCGGAAGAACACCGTTATGTCGTGGTGTTGGCGTTGCAACGTCCAGTCCATCCGTAAAATTGATTGCCCCATGCCATCCACTGTGAGGGTTAGCCGATTTAGAGTATCGGCTATGGATTGCAAAGAGGACTTGGCGAAAACGAGGGCTGGTGCACGACTTGGGACTGCGCCGTCCCTGTCTCCGAACTTCTTCCGGAAGGTGATGTCTTGAATGATCCAAATCTTCATCATCTTCGTATCCGGGCCGGCGATGGAGATGTCGGCGGAGATGATGAGGTCCATGACGAGGAAGGCGTATGGCAAGCTCTGCTCCGTGGCGATGGAGGCGCAATCCGCCATGTGGATCATCACGAATTTCACCCAATTGATGGAGGCGCCGTGGATGATGGCGTGAATCGCCTTCAAGTCCTCGTTGAAGAGCGAGGTGTGGCTGCTGTATCGGGGGTGGAGAATCCAGGTGATGATGTAGAGGAGGAGGCGCTTGTCGGGTGGGGCCGAGTGGATCGTCGGCGCGCCGCTGTGGCGGATCAAGTTGGTGATCCCAAGCTCACGAATGACGACTGCCTCATTGTTGAGGATCCAATCATCGCCACCATAAGTCGCGATGTCGTCACCGCGGATGGGCAGCCCTGCGACCCGAGCAAAGGTAGGTAAATCAATCTGTATGTCGTAGAGATTGATGCTGCTGCGAATGGTGTCACCGTCACGGCGGAGATTGGAGTAGAAGGCCCAGACGAAGGCGGGATTGAAGCTCGAGCGGCTCCTGGAGACGAACGACCACAGACCCGAAGCTTGAAGCTGATTGTCGAGGTCGTGGTACCCCTTTTGTTGAGGGTACAACTCGGGCAGCACCCTAGGCGGAGAAATGGGACGCTTAGCAAAGTGCGTGAGGAACCGCTTGAGTTCCTCCTCCGACCCGAACTCAAGAAACGAGCCGTCCAGGAAGGGGGCGCTGAGGTCGTAGCTTCGGTGTTGCCCTTCTTCTTGGAAACCTTTGTCCTCTTTCCTCCGGCCATGATTGAAGCAAAAAGATGAAGAATTATGTAAAAGAGGAGATTTTAATGTGAAAAATGTGTGTTAAAATGAGTAGAGATGAAGGATATATATAGGAAAGGGTGAGAAATTCGTTTGAATTTGAAAAAAGTGACTGTTGGGCAATAAATTCGGTGACCAACGGTTAAAAAATTTGAATTTGCAGTTGGCTTCCCAGCGATGGGTGGAACTTCCCATCGATGGGAAGGTCGACACTGGAAAGCGAAGGAGAAAACAAAGGCTGCCTTCCCAGCGATGGTAAAACTCACCCATCGATGGGAAGGTGGCTACTGGAAATCCGATAAAACGCTTTAAAAAAAGTGTCAAACATCTAGCGATGGGAGAAAGTTCCCATCGATGGGTAGGGAGGTTCTAAAAAAAAATTTTGAAACTAAAAACATTCACCCAGCGATGGGATGAAATACCCATCGATGGGTAAGGTGTTTCTGGAAATCCGTTAAAAGTTTTAAAAAAAAAAGAGTCAATTACACATCGATGGGAAGAAGCACCCATCGATGGGAAGAGGGGTCCTGGAAAGATGAGGACTTCCCTCCCAGCGATGGTATAACGCACCCATCGCTGGTTCCCCCTGATTTCCAGAAATCTTCACCTCGAACCGTCCCTGCAAAAAAGAGTTAGAAAACCCTGATTTTTCTCCCATTTCATACCTCCCCATTTCTCCTCTTAATCTCACTCTTTTCTTCCAATTAAAATACCCAAACGAACTCCCTCATCATCTCCACAAATCCCAGCCATTCCCACACAAGCACCACTATTACCCGCCCAGGTTTCCTGATCCTGATTGTCTTGATAATCGATTATCAATTAAGATAGTCGACTATCTCACCCTTCAGGACTTTCTTGGCGTCTGCTGCAAAGTCCAATAATCGATTATCAACATTTGATAGTCGACTATCGTCCCCTGCTGAATTCCGTTGGAATAAACTGCGAGCTCCTATAATCGATTATCATATACTGATAATCGACTATCTGCTTACTCTGAAGTTTCTGGGTTTCAGCCACACAAATTCACAATCGATTATCACCTAGCCATAATCGATTATCACCTGCTCCTGAACCTTGAACTCAAGCTGCGTCATCCCTTAATTCCTTCTCAAAATAGCAACTCGTTTATACCCCCGGTTCGGGTATAACAGATTACTCCTCAAAAGAACAACTCGTTTATACCTCGGGTCTCGGGTATAATATTAAGGTACAAATCCAGAAAACCGAACAGTAGGATACTAACTGTCGGGTTGGCTGGCGTCCCCAAACGAGTTCCTCTAGTTTGGTTATGGATCCCGTACGTACGTTTTAACCCAGGCCACCGAATATTCATAATTATACCCGCAAGGCCTATTTCTAAGTCATCTTAGAGGTCTTCTAGATAGTCTTAGAAACCAACGTCAACCTAGGTATATCTTAGAGTTCTTCTAGATATCCTTAGAATTCAAATCATTTCATAATCATCAACATATTCATTTCAATTCATAATTTAATCTTCAATAATCATTTTAATCAGTAGTTTCATCAAGTCATAATCATCATAATAATCATTCATCATTATCATCAATCAACATAACATTTGATAACAAACAGCGGCCTAGTCTCGAGTGTTAACACCCGAACTTACCGTCATACATCACATAGTATTTTATATGCCAAAAACATCATTTTTATTATACAAAATCATATTTATATTGTGCATAATTAATTGGTATCAAAAATAGGATTTTCATAGTTCAAAAATCATGTTTTCTAAACAATAATTGATTAATATATGATAGGAAATTCAATTATTAACTATTAGCTTCATTTTCTACAATAGTGTAGGGAGACAGTCTACTGTCAC